GGAAGGGCTGGTCCATGACATTAACCTGCACAACAGTAGGCTCTGTCTTCAGGTGGCTGGACAGTCCTCTCCCTCTAACCCTATAACTCTGCACCCTCCCTATCAGTTTCATTCCAGGACTTTGCTGTCAAGATATCTTTCGCAACGGCAGGCACCTCTGTTCCAGTGTCTGGATATTTAATTGGCTTTCGACAGTGAACAAAACCAGTACCCCCTGATATTGATTCCAGGATACTCTGTGTTCCTACCACTACCTGTCACACTCATTGGGATCTGAAACAGGCTCCTGGCTCTAAGATTTAAGATGATAATGCACTGCCTGCTGAGACAATGTGACACAGATAGCCATAATTTCCCCCACAGATGTAGATGGAGCAGTATTTGTGCATCAAGAATAGAGCTGGTGTCTTAGGTACAGCCTTTCATTCACAGTAGTAGTGCCTCAGTCATGGTTCATGATTACACTCCAATCAAACCCACAGATCTGCTGCAATGCGAAACTGCTCAGGTGTTTCTGACGCCAACTAAGGCAATTTAGTGCTGCACACACTGATACGAGGATAAGTGCTCATGACCTTGTCAGACGTCTTGTCCTTCAAGACTTCCAAATCTGCGCCAAACATGCACCTGCTGGTGTTTTTAGAACCTTGCAAAGCCAAGAAGCTTCTCCCTGGATGTTACTGAACGACCTCTTTGAGGCTGACATGTCCCAATAAAACAATTAGCTGCATTATTGCAACAAAAGACTATTATTCTCATTCAGGCTACAGATCTTGCTTGGAGCTCTGAAAAACCCTTGTGTAAGCCATGCAGAACCCATCACTATAAAGCATCAAATCTCGTGTTCCTAATGTCAGGTGAGTAGTTTATAAATCTATGAACAGGACTGGATGAGGTAACATAGTGAAATAATGTACATACACATGCTGACTAATCAATGGTCTTGTTCAAATAATTACAGTAAAAGACAGAAAAACATGCTGAAGAATTTAATAGTTTGAAATCATTCATTTTTGAAATCATGTTATTTGATTTCCTAATCAGAATCACGTTCTTATTTGATTTGGTACATTTGAGTTTGAGTGCATTAAATATTTTGTACTGTGGCATGTGATGCATTTTAAAGTTACATTTAAAACTACGTAGTTGCATAAAGCCTATATTACTATATATTAGCCTATATTACTTTTAAAAAACAGAAACTCACTATAAAATGGCAATATACTGTGTAAAATATAAATATTACCATACCAGCTTTATATCACTTAATTGGCAAAGCAAATTAAATTAAATGGTAAATTGAGTGAGTAATTTGGCACCATTCACTGCCCTTAACCATTGTCCCCAGTCTCAGCTGCCCAAGGAGACGATATGCATTCTGTTGTTTGTGGAATGCCTGCAAATGTTTTTTTTGGTCTACTTCAAAGTTGGAGCTGGGAACCATCACTAAAGAGTGGCTTGTATCAGATAGCAAGTGCAGCTGTAAATCTGTCTGCCCAAGTGCTAGCTGGAGAGGCTGTCTTTAACATCTGACAGATATCCCTGGAGGCTGCAGCCTATCAGTTTTCATTGCTGATGAGGTGCGTTTATTACAACCGAAACACTCTAGGTCCCAAAACTGATTTACCACATTAACAGTACGAGCCATTTCTCTGTCCCTAAAGAATTGAGAACACGTACAATTCTTTATTCAGTTATGCATAACATTTATGGAACAGTGCGTGATATTAGCTGTTTGTTTTTTTAACATTCTGACCCTGGACTTCTGCACGCTTATCAGTATAACTGAAATTGGTTTCCCCAGAGGAGGAATATAGTCTCTAGTGATAAACAAAGGGGAAGCAAATTAGGAAACCAGGCAAGGCAAAGAGCAGTTTAATAAAGTAATAAAGAAAGAGTCCAGAAATTCTTATAGAGGTGCGTTTTAAGACACCTCTGGGAATTGTGCTCTCTTCAAGGCTCAATACCTTCTCCCAAAGAAACCCTAGAGCACTTTAAAGAAGATAAAGAATATAATTTTCCCATATGATGACATGGTTTGTTTAAGGGGGCTTAGTTATTTGTTTAGAAATTTAACATTTAAGGCACAAGTTTAAGTGTTTGACGTCTGTTTTGTGCTGTCTACTCTCTAAGCATATTCAAAATCTGTATCTATAGAAACATTTTTGATACTTTGAAAGTTTCTGTCTTTCATGTCCTGCCCCAAAATGTAAGAATGGTTATTTATTTTATTTATTTTTATTCTTTTTTCATTAAATATATTGGTCTTATGTTTCAGTGTGACATTATACCCCAAAATGACTTAATTATTGAATTATGTGGCAGACATTTTTACAGTGGGGTAACTGGCTTGGTAACAACTGAATGTATTACATTTATTTTTTATAATATATATAATATTTTTTTTAATTACTCTACAATTGAAGCAAAAGTAAAAATACTTTCAAAGTGCCAACAACAGCTCCTCTTCTATCTTGTGATTTATGACAAAAATGCATCACCTTCATTTTTAAAGGATGGTTGAAAAATGTATTTTAGTTGACAAAACACAATTTGGGGCTGTAATCGGCCCAGAATGGAATCAGGAATACGACAGCACACATACAATTGGTATAAAATTGTTTAGTACCCAGGAAAGAGCACATTCTCTATAAGGCGTATGGAACAGAATATTTCTTGTATCAGAATAAGGATTTCCACCATCTATAAGCTATATAAATGATGTAGATTTTAATTAATTGGTTGTTGGCCCATCTAAGAAACTGACAATAGAGTTCTGTTGTTATCTCTTTGTAATTAATTTGCTAATCCTTTACTGGATGTTGATCTTTCCACATATTCTTTTCTTCTTCACGTTAGTTAAAGAGCTGAACAATAAAGCACATTGTTAGATGTTATTACATACAGATTTCATTACGAATATTGTTGGGCTTATGTTTGGTTGATATAAAGCACCGTTGTAGAAAGCTAAAAAACGCTGTTCCGTCGTGGGCAAAGGTCAAAGCAAACTGTTATCTTTGAGGGCAAAGGTCATGTAAAGCCGTTATGTGTGGTGGTGATGTCAGAATCCCTAATCCCTCTCCCCAGAGTAATGCCCTGAAACTCCCCCCACAGAACTGTCTAACTGCCCCCGCAAAAAGAAAATAGAATCTACTGATAACACTCGAAGTTCAAAAGTATAAATACTTTTTATACAGATATTTTATGCTGTGATTCATTTTGTTTGTTGGACATTCTGTTCTATAAAGTTCCTCTAAATTGAATCACACTTGTGAGTCATTTATTGCTGATTAAGGAGGAAACCTTAAGAAATAGCTAATAGGTTAAATTTCATAAACAAGGTTGTGTCCCATATTGAAGAGTGGAGCTAATAGACCACTTTCTTCATGTCCAATGATAGAACACAACTTCATTATGGAAGGTCACCCACTGCATACTTACTACTAGTACTGCTACTGTTTTAGTCTTCCGACATATGTATAAGTAAATGTGCACTGTATTTCACTGCACAGAAACCTTGCAATTAGTTCAGTGCTCTGTTGAGTTAAACAACCTTAAAATGCCACTATCTGCTCTGTTTATGGAAATCTTGTGTCACACATAGAACTGCTTGACAACATTGATTTTACAGTTCGCCGCTTGGCTTGGGGTTAGTTATCTGAGGTTTAGTACAGACTTTTCGTTTTTCCTGCGTGATGCGCAAAGCCTTGGTAGCTGATTAAATGAAAAGTTTGCAATTGACATGTCTTGCCAGCAAATGTGCGTGTTGCCTTTTTCTTTTCCTTGACACGGATGAAATCTAGAAACAGAATCTATGCAATATCATTAAGATGCATTGATGTATTCAGTGTTTCAATATGTTTTCTCCTATCAATTAAAAAACTAAATAATTTAGATGCTGCTGCTTTAAAACCTGTTGCTATGGTGACAAGTAACAAAAGACCCTGCATGTTGCTAGCCCCCTGCACAGCACTGTCAGTCGTTGGAAACTTAACGAGTTGGAGGCCAGTTTAGACAAATAGAGAGTGGAGGAAAATAGGTCAATGGTTTAATAGCGAAATTCAGAACTCGCAGAAGAACTAAACTTTTTATTTTTAATAATAACTCTAAAAACCTGATGTTTTTAAAAGTAATGCAACATGTCTACTTTTTCCTTTGAAGATCTTTATAATGAACAAATCTACTTGGCATTTGTTAAAATCTGTATCATGTTTTGAACTTAATAACTACACTTCGAGCTTAATTTTGAGCATTCCGAACTTTATAATGTAAAAAAAAGCAGTTTACCTGACTCTGCAACAAGCCTGAGAAACACCTATAAAATAATCTCTCAAAATAAGGGCAGGTCAAATGACAAATACTTCTCAATATAAAAACGTTTTTTTTTTTTAAGTCTGCCATTTTCAATATATTATTTTAAGTAATTTTGTGTCTCCGACCTCAGAAATAACATGGTTAATATTTTTCATTAACATTTCTCTGCAGCTAGGAACTTTTCTGAAAATGAAAGCCGTGTAGAATTAAAAAAAATGAAACGTGACTGAAAAGTGCAAAGAAAATTGCTCTTCAAACATGAAAAGAAAAAAAAAAGGTCTCAGATTATTTGGTTTTATTGCGTAGCGTAGAGACACACAGCAAAAACAGAAGAGTGGGCAAATTCCTAACTTGCTGGTTCTGAAGACTTAGATATTTGGTGATACGTCTTACCAAGTCAGTTTTAAATAACTTTCAATTAGAAAACAGAAAGAGAAATCAGCCTTCTTCTTTTAGATGATCCCACCAGACAACCTGTTGCCCCTCCAGCAAACAGATTTGCATTTGCCCACACACAGCTCCTCTGTTAAACATGTTGCACTTGTCTGCACACTCCATCCAATTCCTCACCACGAAACCATAACACTTTTTAAACTGAAGCGTCCATCGGAAGCCATATTTTGGGCCACATGTAACATGTTCAACAGAAATGCGGGGCAAATGAGTAAAGACATATTTTTCCTTACCCCATTTGAACATCATCATGGTAAGCAGCACCGTTTTGTAGTAAGAGTGAGAAGCAACTCTTTCAAACTCCATGGCAGATGAAAACAGCTACTGAAGAGCTCCAGTGAAACAACCAGTTTTCACTCCAGAAGGGTGTCCTTTAGCATCTTGCGTCGATAAAGATGTTCCCCCTAGTCTGTGGCAGGCATGTTAGTGGCACTCCATGCTTTCTCAGTAATGTGACCAACATTGGTTTCTGTGGACTGAGAGCCCTGGCATGGCTGAAGCCCAGTAATCACTCTTCTAGAGCGATCTGGCAAAGAAGGACTGGATTCCAGGACTTGGAATCTCTTGTCAGGAGAGCAGCCCAGAAATTCAACAAGCACCTTAATCTTTGGGGTCCTTGAAAACAACTGACTCACTAGAGGGGACTGATTCCATGCTAGATTTAATTAAAAAGGAGTGGAAGATTTTATGTGTTTATTTCTAAATTAAAGTGGCGTCACTGACGCATCTCGGATTTATTTTAACCCTTATATTTGTTGTGATTGACGTGACCATATCCAATAGTAAAGTATTCATAAATGCTAACATTGACATTAAGCAAAGATGCCTAAAATACAATCCCAATAACTGGATATTTCCTTTTCTTTTTTTATTTTCTTTTTCTTAATTCTTTCCCTGAAGCTATATTTTCCCTGCAGTACCAAGTGCTGTCATGATGAAACTCGCATAAGAACAGGCTGATGGGTAGCGACACTAATCCACTCGCTTGTATTAGCAGTGATCTTTATTTTCAGAAGCTCTATCTGAATTATTTTCAGATTTATTCTCATCAAAAAATAACAATGGTAAATATATCGTATGTTTATTAAAAACATATATGGGAAAATAAAAAAATGTATTAATCACACTCAGATTATTCCTATAGGTAGGCACAACCACCATCCATGTTTTTATCTATTCTGATAGCAAAACAAATGGTTGTCTTTTTTAATTGGGATGGATTTTACACACCCACATCACTGTTATGAATATTGCTTAGCAATGTTGTGCTAAATGAATCCCATTGCTTAATTAGGTCATTGCTAATTAAATAAAAAATCACTTGACACAGACTTGTTTTCATTATGATCTTAATGGTGTTCAGTGAACATAGTCTTGGATACATTCTAATGTTTTAGTTCAAATGCATACAATTAGGCAAAGACAACATCCATATAAAATGTAAAGTTAATTAAGAAGGCTAGCCAGTTTAGTAAAATCACACCAGTGTCTTTAGGGCAAATATGTGAGAATTAACTTAGACATCTCTCTTCAGTTTCTTTACTTTTGAAAGGCAGACTGAAACTAACCACAAACGCAGTCGGGAAGAGAATCCATTCCACTTTTTGGAGCTCTCATCTCTAGTCATCAGTGGCTTGATGGGGCTTTTGTGAAAAAGAGACTTATCTCTCAGCAGTACCACCTAACAGTATTGGAAAGCCCCATCACACCTCTAGTGCTGGTAAGCCCCATCTAAGCTTAGCAACCAAACCGATGGATTGGCCAACCTGATGTAAACCCACTTTAATTAAACGTTTGGCAAAACACCGCACTCAGTGGATGTGAAAGAAAGGTGTTCCGGTGGGGAGCTGTGTCAGCATGCTTTGGCTGCAAAGGAATTAACCTTTACTTGATCCTGTGAGAAAAATATGTCTTGCACAGTGCTGAAGCTTAAACAACTGTCCTGTTTTATGAAATCATCATAAAAAAGTAAAATCATTCGCCCTTAGAGGTGATGGATGGGATTTCATAAAAAGATTGCCCTGAACTTTACATGATTGTTTTGGATTAACACGCATTTCACTGAATCACGGGTTTCTTGGTACCATCCAGGTAAAAAAAAAAAAAAAAAAACGTTTGGTTGAAGTCATGAATATCAGAACCTTGTGATCAATGCCAGTTCAAAAAGTCTGGTTTTTAGTTGAAAAAGGTGGAAATCAGATGGGGCAGATCTGGACTGCAGAGAGCAGCAGGAGCAGAAGCTCGAAGGGAAATCTGCTCAGATGGCTCTCTGGGTACCATGTGGTTTTGCATCCTCAGCTGAGTCTTACAGTACGTACTGATTTATTTGCATGCTTGTTCTGACACTGTTCTCCATCGTGTTACTGTGTGTTCCACTGGTGACTCATGGTCCAAAGCACTATGCAAGGACATGTCCTGACAGTTCATCAAGACACTGCATATTCACATGAAGGGGTTGCTAATAAACATCCTAAACATGTTTAAGCCCTAAACATCTTATTAGATATTATTAAATATCTTATTAAACCAAAGATATCTTTACCTTAATAAGCACTATGACTATAAATGAAACCGTATATGAAAAAAACACCTTTATTACAGCAGGATTTGTTTTGAATTGATGGAAAAAGGTAAATAATTACCTGAAAAATGCATACTGTAATGTACAGTAGTAACAGCTATGTAACTTTATTGGGGGGGAAAAGTAACAAAGTCTGAATCACATCAAAACTCATAGGAGCAGAACATGAACTTATTGAATAATTGTGAGTATTTAAGGTTTATTTTATAGTCATGTAAAATGAGACCCGAGACATTGAGTTTATATATGAGATTCAACAAAGCTTCATACAAAACAGGGGTCTCGCCAATATCCAAACAGGTAGTTTAGCTCCAGCTGACAAAAAGGGAGACAAATCTGAACCAATTATATCATTAATAAGTCTTACTTCCATTTTATGCAAGGATAATCAACAAGGACCCGGAAAAGATGGGTCTTGTTTATTATGCGGAGACTGATACAAATAGTGTATATAATATGATACATTAAACATTTTCAGATAGCTTTTGGTAACATTCCTAATGTTACCTAATTCTGAAATTGCAGGTAAACCAGGTAAAACAAGTTTTTGGACTGAAAACTGGTTAATGAAATGGAAAGAGAGCGTGCAGGTGAGGTGTCGAGAGAATGTTAGGATACAGATAAAAGTCCAGACTTGAAATCAAGGGATATTATTTTAAAATGAATGATGTGCTTGTGGGGCCCAAAGGCACTCCTCTCATTCGCAACGATTCTTATGCTCACAAATCAGGCTCTTTGAAGTTGCTTTATCATGAAAGAGGTGACGTTTAGAAGATCAATTGATTTTCAGCGGCTATCTTTAACTTATTTTTTTGTGTGAACTCCTTTGAACTTTAGTCCAAAGCTGATCATTTTAAAAGTATGTCCAACTCGGGGGCCCCCACGTGCTTAAAGTAGCCTCCTCCAGTCCAGCCCCGATCTGCTTTTTAACTCTCTGTCAGAAGGATGGCAGTCATAATTCCAGCCTCCCCTTAACCTGACACCAGTTATTCAGACAGACAAATTTGTTTTGTGAAAGGGATTGTTACAGCTGGAATGCAATGAACGTAGGATACAAAAACCAAGAGCATATATGTTTGGCTATTTTTTGTAAAAAGCGTGGGAGACATCTAATCTCCGGCTACACATTTTACGTTTCCTAATAGCGAGTCATACAGATTTTGCATCATTATTATGTTCCCAAGAACGTATTTTGCAAAGAGGTGTTTTTACTATAAAAGAAAAACGTTTAATCTTCCTGTCTTGACAAGCTGTTTAATCTCACTCCCTCATTCAGATTGCTCAGGCTAATGTAATTCCTGTTCATTTACTCATCTTATTTAACACTCTCTGCTTTCCCCCTACACTGAATAACTGTTTGTGCAGGGTGTTTTCAAGGACAAGAACTCTACACAGCACAAGTCATAGTCAAACATTTGATTATGTGAGTAGAAATATCAGCATATTGTTTTGTTTTGTTTTTTTTGGTAAACCTACA